GGTGTAAATGAGGCTTGCAGCTTTAAATGATTAATGAGAATGTATTGAGGAACTTTTAGCCTATGGTTATTTTTGGTGTCAATAGTAATGATATTGTGTAAAGATTGGTTGGCTGATTAATACATTAGCCTATAAGCTATTTAACTGATCCTGTGTAATCCAGTGCCCAAGCTTCCATCTTTCTAATTTGTGCCGAAGTATGACAGCATTATATGGCATGGGAGAATACCGCGCCGTTTACACTAGGCCTACCGGCCTACGTATTACCAATACGTTCTGTCATCTACTCGACACACACGTGAAATTATTTTTCACGTGTGTATTCGTAACTAAAACATTAGAAAAAATGTATCAACATTTTTCCGCTTTTTTCCGATACGAAAAACGTTTTGTTAGGTAATACTACATTGCTTAAATCACAGACATCCGTCGCGTCGTAGACGGAGACGTCTACGCTTTTTTTTTGTTAACAGCTTAAACTATATAGTATGTATAGTATATATATATAGTATGGTTATGGAAACCAAGTGACTTTTGAGTTTAGTTTATGATCAATCGACTCTTTTTTGAAGACAGAGTAAAATCAAATTTCAAAGAGTCGTGTACATGATGTCGACAGTTTTATCGATAGATCGTGAAAGGCAAATTTTGCCAAAAATTTCTGAATTGTGAAGGTTACGAAACGTCGTCGTGGTCGTTAGCAGTCAGTAGGACGCTATTCATCGCTAATTGCGTTACTGCCTTCTTTATTCTTATTTTTACAGTTGGCCTACAAGTATCGAAATCAATTTTTATTCCTATATATTTTAATAAGAACAAGCGGATTTGATTATCTACAATGAATAAAAATTAAAAACTGAAACATGGCTTCTCTTTGTATTTTCAAAAGACATAGTTCTAAATGTAGTGCATGTATGTATGAATTTACAAAAATTAAAGATTCAAATGAACATGCGCCCAGCAGTAAGACGAATAACGAGCCGATGATGATTCAAATGAAACAAGTTCAGCTATTTTTTGCTGATGTGTAACCAACATTCAGTCGACATAGATAGAATATTTATCGACTGCAATCACTAGGTGCTTTGTAGTGGGCAACACTTTTGCGCATATGAACTGTCATTTTACTCCATCTTCGAATAATGCATATTTTTCCGAAGTGATGCGTGATATCACAGTACCCTGTCGCGTGATCTTTGTAATATTACTTACATTACTTACACATGTCTACTTCGAAAGAGATAGAATTAGTGTCTTCTCTCATAATATGTTCTTTATTTTAAAAATATTCTAATAAATTATTCATTGATCTCGGTGTATAATTGCCTGTGATATTTTCGTAACACCCCAAATACTAGTCACATATACTTTATTTATTTTCGCACGTTAAAATGAATAAACGAGAACCAGACTATCCCGTGGAGTTAGAGTCGCAATTTGTAATGAGATTGCCTGAAGAACCAGCTAAGGCACTGCGAGAAGTATTAAGATCTGGAGAAAACATCAAGAATAGGTTGACTATTCAGATGGATAATGACATGCGACACGGCGAAGTCCGTTTCGATCATTGGCTCTTACATTCAAAAATAGTGGATCTGCCTACCATCGTAGAATCACTGAAGACTATCGACAGGAAGAGTGTATACAAATCAGCTGATATTTGTCAAATGATGATTTGTAAAGATGAACTGGACCCAACTTCAACAGAAGAAGAGTCTCCGACTAAAAATAAAAAGAAGGATCCCTTCAAAGTTGACAAAAAATTCTTGTGGCCTCATGGAGTTACACCACCAACAAAGAATGTCAGGAAAAGGCGTTTCAGGAAAACTTTAAAGAAGAAATCTGCTGAAGCTCCAGAAATTGAGAAAGAAGTAAAGAGGTTACTTCGAGCTGACAATGAAGCCATTAGTGTTACTTGGGAGGTTATTCAAGAGGAGGATGAACATGCTAAACCAGAGCCTGGCCCTTCAGGCAAACCTGAAAGGAAGACAAAGAAGGAAACTATCAAAGCTGAGGCAGCTAATCAATCCTCGTCAAAGGTTGAGGACATATTTGGTGGAGCACTCAGTGACTCAGATCTAGAGGAAGAAAATGTAAATGTAGATGTGGAAGACAGTCATTTATCATCATATGGAGATCATTTTTCAGACTCATCTGCTCAAGGCCCTGTTGACCTAAAAGCAACCCAGTTCAGCTCTGATATGTTCAATTCACCCCACACTTCTCAAAGACCACATGCTCGAGCAACTACATCAATGGATCAAGCAGGACCTTCCATGTACAAAAGGAATGAACAGTATTTAACTGATGAGTTCATGCATCAATCATCTGATAATGTCACATTCAAGTTGCAGCAACTGGGTGCTGAATTGGAAGAGCTAAAGCAGAGACGTCAACGAACTCAACTGGAAATATCAGGCATGGAAAACATGACTTTACGACAGAGATTCCAAGATGTTCTCCAAACTCTGAACAAGGAAATTATGTATAAAGAAATTGAGTATCAAAAACTACGGTCTCTGCTCAAGTAAACATTTACCATTGATATTATGTTACAATGAATTTAAGACATAAATGATTATCATTAGTTGCAGGTTTCTTACTATGGTATGGCTTTTTATTATTTTCTGTGCTAATCTCTAAGCAGTGATAATGATTTGAGAATAAACATGAATGTCTTAAAATCTATAATGTAAGATTTATTTCAATATGGAAGTGTAAAATTTACTCATGTATTTAACTCATAATAAACTTTGCTGTGCTAGTTAATTATTCCTCAATTTTTCAATTCAATTCAATATTCTTTATTGCACAATAAACAAGCAAAAATACAAAACAATCAAAAATACAGTGTACAACAGGCGGCCTTATTGCTAAATAGCAATCTCTGCCAGGCAACCTTGTAATGGTATTTAAAGAAATGTGAATAGATACTGCATTTTCGTATACTTACTATCTAGTTTCGCTTGATCTGTGCAATGATGAAATAAGTCCTTGATACATTGTTTCTAATGATTATCATACACTTACCACCTTCTTGTCAATATTTTTTAAGAATTATCAATAATTTGTTGGAACTGGAATTGGAACGAACCAACGTGATAAATCTGTAATAGATTTCTCATAGATGGCGCTACGACTAAAAAGTCGTTGAAAGACCAAGTACAAAAACACGACGCAAGCACATAGAAAAATTCGTGAGGTCCGTTGGTTCGTTCCGTGGCTTAGTTGGTATAGCGTCTGGCACGGTATGCAAGAAGACGTCGGTTCGAATCCGACCGGATCGAAGGAATTTTTTCTGAGTGTTCGATCTTTGTATTAAATTATAACAAACTAGTGGAGTAATTTCACAAATAATAATTGAATATCAATTCAATAACAATTTAATTAATTATCAATAATTTAAAGTATTAATTATTCTTTTAAGATATCACATATTTGGTCAGATAGAGCTTTTTACAGAAGTTTTGATTTAGATTTGTTTTACACAACTTGTTATATAAAATATACAATGAAGAGGTTCTAAAAAGGATTGAGTGAGCATTCTTGAGTATTTGGCCTAGTTAGCCAGATTTTGGCTAGTATCCATATACTTTGTATGTTATAAAATTTACCATAAACTTCACTATGCTATGTATATACAATATTGTTACAAAAATTTGCTTCCACTCTGTTCCACCGCAATATAAATACAGCCTAAAGAACAGAAGGGTGAAAATATTTTGAACATGTATTATATAATATATGAAAGTTATAACTGAGGAGAAGACGAAGGAACAAGAGAGGAAGACCAATAATGCTGTGCAATGAACATTGACCTAATATGGTATATAAGGTTTATGAGAGTGAACAAATAAAAGAGAACATCAAAGTGAGCAGAGGTCAAGGAGCTGGCTATGAGGAAATGACCGTGAGGAATGGAGGAGACCAGATCAATAAGAGTTTGGCTCTTAAATAGCTTATCGAATTCTTAATTTTTTTCAACTATTTGTTTCATTTCTTAAATAGGATTTTTTTTATAATATTAAGTGACGGGACGAACAAGTCGTGCGCCTGATGGTAAGGTACACGCCTATCCATAGCAGTTACACAGTGTCACTCAGAGCTTTAAACCACAAAGATCCATAGGATAATGATTACTTATTATATATATAAAGCTACAAATCCTGACTCACTTAGAAAAACAGAACGCATACTTCCCGATATGGCAGGAAAAAGATACTATACCTAGATATATACCGTTGTAGGCGGATACGCTCCAAGGCAAAGAATCAAATAGGAGAAGACGTGAATATGGAAACTATAACGAGTGATCAACGGCATGCAAAAACTATAATACATGGGGAGGATTTTTGTGCACTTTTATGAGATACACCTTGGTAAATTTCTGCAGAAAGTTCGAAAAAAAATGTTCGAAATTCAAATAAACAAGATGGACGCCATACATATTCCGAAGCCTTCTAACACGGAAACTATTGGAGATAGGTATACTATTAGAGGTTGGAATGTCATAAAGGGTAATAGTGGTCAACTGCCTGTGTAAAAAAAATTCAAGATGGCGAATCCAAAATGGCAGCCGAAGAAAAACTTGCTTCGATGCGGCTGAAAATTGGCATGCGGGGGTCTTTAGGAGTACTTAATCATAATTTGGGATCAAAAGTTTTTTTCGCCATTTTTTAATATGGCTGCCATATAAGTGGTTTTTATCGTTAAAAATAGCTGCCGAAAGAGACACGCTCTGTTTCATCTGAAAATTGGCATGTGGAGGCCTCTAGTAGTGCCAGAAAATAATTTGAGCTCGTATTTGGTTTTTCGCCATTTTCAAATATGGCCGCCATACAAGCGTTTGTTGACAGTAGAAAAAAAATGTTCCCGATGTAGTGGAAATAATATAGGATATTATCCTATATTATTTACACTTACTTATAGCGTTGTTGTATCTCGACCGTCTCTCTGTTAGATTCTTTTTTCTTGGAAGCTATGCCAAAAAGAGAAGTATTTAGGGAAAAAATGCCAGGCAATCACTCCAAATTTCTGATCTTAAACTAGGGAATTTCCTGTACTATGAGTACCAGAGTAAAAATAATTCTGAGGGCAATACCCAGAATACCCTGATCAGAACCAACTTAAAAATGTTTTTTTATAAGTTGGCCCAAATCAGGTATGAAATCAGGGTCGAATCTGGAACCTCCTCATCAAGCGCCCATAGTACTTAATCACTGTACCACCGAAGAGTATAAGCACACCCGTAATCTGAAACCGACCACGCGCCGCAGGCTGAGCCAGACCCCCCACCGTTAGGTGGGGTATTGGGCTCGTATAGTATATCATTAATTATGATTATCATTTATATAGTATTTAGCAAAGAGAATGCAAAATTGTTGCTAAGCTACCATACTGTAAACAGTCTTCAATCTCTCTCATTTATTTTTTATCAATAGTGTAACTTTAGCTGTTATCTAATGAATAATAGGTAGTTTTCTTAAAAAATGCAATCAATACCAGAAATTGCTGCGCAAATTGTTAACAACTCGCTATCCAATGTGGCAAAAGACAACTCTCGTACGATATTCCTTGTTGGCAGTAAGTCAGTGGTAAGTGAATAGTGAATTAATTTGTGTTTTTATTATTCTAGCCAAAGTATATTGAATACTTTACTTTTAATACCTTTTCTTTTCAGGGGAAATCTACATTGTTATATTCATTCTTAGATAAAAATGATACGCCTAAGGAAACGTTAGTTCTTGAATATTCATTTGGTAGAAAGTCGAATCAAAAACAGGCAATAGAAAAAACTATTTGCCATATTTGGGAATACGGTGGCAAATTGGATATTTTGAAAACTGTCTTACCTTCTGTCCCTATTCGTGGAAAGTTTTATTATTGCGTTATGATAGACATAAGTAAAACAAAGAGCATTTGGAATACTTTGGAAACTTGTGTTCAAGCCTTAAATGATATTTATAGTGAGGCTGAGAATGTTCCAGAGTTGATAATTATTTGTGGAAAATACGATCTCTTTAAGAATTACGGTAAGTAGGTAAACTATAGCTCTGCTTAATGTATTTATTCTAAAGTTCGCTGCTTAACGAATCCTGTTTTCCTGTTTCAGACAGTGAAATCAAAAAATTTATCTGTTCAACAGTAAGAAGTGTCGCTCTGTTGCAAAAAGCTCACCTTGTATTTTACACATCCAAAGAACCTCAACTTGTAAAACGTGCAAAGGACTTATTTCATGGCATAGGCTTTGGAAATGGCGTGGCCTTTAAAGAAAGGAACGTTAATTCCACAAAACCTTTGTGCATACCTAAAGGTTCTGATACTTGGGAAAGCGTCGGATTAGAACTTACCAATTGGGAACAAGTAAGTTTCTGCAATATTTCGCTCGTCTGTATTGGATTGGACTTGCAGTCTTTATGCGAGTGCTGTTAATAATCTCAGTACAGATTACTAAAATAATCTCAGTACAGATTACTAAAAAAACCGACCTCAAAAGTTCGTGGATTTACATCTGTTTCCCAAGTTTTATTGAAATCGGTTACCGGAAAGTGCGCGAAACCGGATTCATCCTTTGTTTGCCACTCTTAGAGGTGGAATATTTTCTTCAAATTTAAGTGGGATCACTACTGAGGTTACTCTCTTTCCAACAAAAAAGAATCATCAAAATCGATTCACAAATGCTGAAGTTATCACGTAACATACATACCTACAAAAAATTACAGACTAATTGAGAACGTCCCCCTTTTTTTGAAGTCGGGTAAAAACATTTCCTGTATGCTACAGAACTAACACCTGGGGTTGTGTTTTCTTACAGATCAAATTAAGACACTTAACGCGATTTCCTTCTGATCCTGAAGTGTCATCAGAAGTGCTTGCTTCGCGGCCACAAAGGTCTCACCCAGAGCCGTCTATTGATGCGTTGGTTGCTTTGAAGTACGAAGAATTACGCAATTTAGAATTACTTGATATTAGTTTGGACGATTATTTAAGGGTTCATTAAAATAAACAAAACTTATTTAAGACTTATCTTGTTTATTTCATTTTTAAGCCTATTCATATAACATTTATATGAACGCCTATTTATTTAGTCTTCCGAGCTCGTAATCGGGCATCCAGCGTTCGTAGAGCAAGCCGTGCCGCCGTGTGTTCGGAGTTAGTGGCCAGACTTACTTGTATACACCGACGAGCAAGAACCATGTCACCTGTAGACTAAGCACCGCAATAAGTATTACAGTTGATAGGAATATATCGAAAATAAAATTCCTAATGCCAAACAGAGCCGTGACGGAAATTACGGTATGTAGGTATATAATTTTTTTTTTCAACTTTTTGGTCTATTTCGAAATAATTAGGTACTCAAGTGCTAATATATCTTTACCAAAGCAACATGGGCAAGATTGAACCAAATGTCTGATCGAGCTTCAGGACTTGTAGCGTAGAACAACGCCTGCCTGAAGCAATGCAGTGTAAGGTCCCATTGATTGCAATATAAACAGCACAGACCGAGGTTGTTGTAGATTTCCGGTCCTACTGGATTTGTAGCCAAGAGCCTCCTGCAAAGAAAACAGACGTGGGTCATCTGTTCGTAGCCAGTCTTTGTACTGGCATTTCGACTTACCTGTAATATCGTAAGGCAATTTCCGGTTGATCATTATAGAAGTTGTGCATTGCAATGCTTGCTACTGCTTCCATATTGGATGGATCTTCCAGAGCAACCATTCGGTATTCCTTCACAGCCAGAGCTGAATTACCCATTTGGTTATGTATTCTTGCTTGTTCTAAAAGCAAGGGAGTGTATTCGTGGAAAACAGACAAACCTTGCTTACACACTTCGAGGGCTGAAAGAGGTTGATTCAATCCCACGTACATCGCAACTAAACGTAAATAGATAGATATGTGCTTATTCTGCTTAAGCGCTTGTCGTAAGCAATCTTCAGCGTTCCTGTACAGTCCAAGAGTGTAATAGCATCTTGCTAATGAGAAATTCCACCACCAGTCCGCAGTATCATCTAATTTTTGAGCTTGAAACGCTACATCCATTGCCTATAAAATCCATAATTGCCCTACCGTTAAGAAAATTCTGCGTAGTACGTACATTATATTACATTACATTACATTATATATTATGTTGATTAATATCAAGGTGATCTTGGAAAATTAAGGAAAAACTAAAGTACCTACCTTCCGAACGTCTCCTTCACAATAATACACGTACTCAAACAAAGTCTTAGCCGCAGGAACGAAGTACTTGTCGTCTTTTGTTTGGAATCTTAAAGAAAGCGGTGTACCAGCTGTAAAAGGAACTCCAGCGGCTAGAGCAGTGGCAGCTCTTGAAACTTGAGATGCGGTGTGAAGAGCTGTACGTGCGCTGCGGGCTCTTGCTGTACTGGTTACTCCGCGAGACCTTAGCGTTGCAGTTGTTGGAGGTCGCCCCTAGGAAAATAAATAAACTAAATATAATTGTTCCAGAGTTTTGCCGAGTCCATGCACAGATTAAAAAAAATGGCCTTACATTTGTTTGAGCTGTCTTGACTTCTCTTTGAAAAGTAGTGCCTGGCCGTGGTGTCTTAGCAATTGACGTAGATGTCAACTCGTCCTGTTGTGGAAAATATTCAACTTCCTCGTAACCATTTCCAGCTATCTTAGCTTGGATAGTCATTGCCCGCATTTGTATGAACTCTATCATTCGATCGCTTTTATCATTGAGTGCGAGAGCACATAATTTGAGGCACTCATCGTATTGCTTTGTTTTGTAAAGATTTAAAATTCTGTAATCGATTTCCATTGCAATTCTTGGTTTTTATTTGTAGTCTGGGATATATTATACTTTGTTTGTAGTTTGTTTGTATTAATTTGAAAACACATAAAAAAATTCCTAATGTTAACTTACACTTGCTCTAGTTGCTTAGCAACCTATGTACAACATAAGACATCATAATTTTGTTTTGGATTAAAATAAACATTTTATTTGTAATTAAATCATATATTATTCTGCTAATTCACAAATTAACTATAAGTAGTCTAAATAATCATCTCAAAATTACCTACTTACATCTCTAATATTATAAAGGATGCTTACAATAAGGGACTCACTACATTTATTCACACGGAATCGCATTAAGCCGGGTTAAGTAAACCTTTACTTTACCTTTGTTGCAATACCTAAAAGCGGAAAAGACATTGCGCGTTTCGCTTCCGCTCGGATCAGAGACGCTAAACGCACGTCGTTTTCGCTCTTTTTATATAGGCATAAAAGTTTTTCTAATCGGCTTAATGCGAATACGTGTCGAGAAGTGTGGTGACTCCCTTATAACCTACCGAAATAATAGGCAACATTTTCTACTATCAATTATAACCACGATTTAAATTTTTTTCCTAATATCCTGTGGTTAATATCTATCTACATTTGTGACGTCAAATTCATATTCTGTTATCTTCGTTAAAACACATTTAAATTGTTAACTAGCTTCAAGAAAACGCCCGCAATTGGACTATATTTGTAACGTAGAAACAATTATCATAACTAAATTAACAAGTTGTGGTATCAGATGTCTTTAAATATTTTGCTAACTATAAAACTAGGTGGACCCGCGTATTTGCCTATCAATGCTTTGTATTCGTAACCTGCAGATCGTATCACACGTATGGCGGCGTAAAGCTGGTCGCTCGTTTTCGTTAAATTACTTGATTTCTTCTCTGCTGCTTTGTAACTGAAAAAAAGTCTTAATCTTAGCCCTGAATCGTTGAAAAGAATTAAGAAAATATGACCTTTCGTCATAGGTAGGATACGTAGAAATGCGCTTTGAAGATGAATTATAAAAAATCGAATCGACTTTACTATAGGGTTTAAAAATTCATTTAAAAACAGCACGTAAATATTTTAAAACAATTGTTAAAACCTAAAACATGCTCCCCTGAAAAATCTACGAAATATCACTTACGCCCTTTCTACAAAACACCGATTATTATAACATAATTAAAATCAAAATTTAATTTTAAAACAGGACGTAAATATTTTTAAATAATCGTTAAAATCTAAAACATGCTCACTGAAAAATCTATGAAAAGTCGCGTACGCCCTTTCTACAAACCACCTAATATTTTCCTCCGAGTACCTCGGTATTCTGCCCCATTTTATTAAGGTGGTAGGTAATTATAGTACTTCTACTTAGTTATGGGTAATTCCACGGACATATATCCAGATAGACGCCGCAAGTGTACGTACTTCGCGTGCCCAAAGTAAGTGACATTCACTTACTTGCCGCTGCTACACTTCAGAACGCGCTCGACCGATCGTAGATAAACACCAGTCGAAAACGCGAAAAATGCGTAATTGTGTCATTATTATACAAAACTACAAATTCTGACTCACTTAGAAAAATAGAACGCATACTTCCCGATATAGTGGAAAAAATCTATTTATACCGTTGTACGCGGATAGGCTCCAAGGCAAAGAATCAAATATGAGAAGACCTGAATGTGGAAAATGTAAACGACTGATCAAAACTATAATACGTGGGGGGGGGGGGATTTTTGTGCATTTTTATGAGATACACTCTGGTCAATTTCCTCGGGAAGTAAAAAATGTTCGAAATTCAAGATGCCGCCGTACATATTTCAAAGCCTCCTATCACGGAAACTATTAGAGCCTGGGTTTAAAAAAATTCAAGATGGCGATTTCAAAATGGAAGCCGAAGAAAAACTTGCTTCGATCCGGCTGAAAACTGGCATGCGAGGACGACTCCTTTAGGAGTCCTTAATCATAATTTGGGGTCAAAAATTTCTTTTCGCCATTTTTAATATGGCTGCCACATAAGTGTTTTTTTTTTGTTAAGAATAGCTGCCGAAAGAGATTTGCTCTGATTCGACAGAAAATTGTCATGTGAAGGCCACTAGAAATGCTGGATAATAATTTATGCTCAAAATTAGTTTTTCGCCATTTCCAAATAGGGCCGTCATAGAAGCATTCGTTGGCGGCAGAAAAAAAATTGCTCAGATCCCTTTGAAAATTGGCATATGGGGGTCTCTAGGAGTGCTTGATAATAATTTGTGATCAAAAGTGGTTTTTCGCCATTTTTCAATATGGCTGCCATAGAAGTGTTTTTTTGGCGGCAGATGAAAATTTGCTTTAATTCGATTGAAAATCGGCATGAGACTCCCCAGTCTATGGGTGCTTAATAATAATTTGCGGTCAAAATTTATTTTTTGCCATTTTTTAATATGGCTGCCATACAAACTTTTTGGCCGTAGATGGAAATTTGCTCTAATTCAGCTGAAAATCGGCATGTGGGGATCTCTATGGGTGTTAATAATAATTTGCAGTCAAAATTTACTTTTTATTTTTTACGGCCGTAGGCCGAGGTGTAGCGGAGGGCGACGCCCGAAGCGTCCGCACGCCACCTTACGTAGGTAGTATACGGAGACTACTACGGTACAAGATTTCACAATTGTTCAAAATGTAAGGCATACTTCCCGATGTAGTGGAAATAAGATACTTATAGCGTTGTTGTATCTCGACCGTCTCTCTGTTAGATTCTTTTTTCTTGGAAGCTATGCCCAAAAAGAGAAGTTTAAGGAAAAAATGCCAGACAATCATTCCAAATTTCTGATTTCAAAGTAGGGAATTTCCTGTACTATGAGTACCAGAGTAACAATAATTCTGAGGGTAATACCCAGAATACCCTGACCAGAACCAATTTAAAAATATTTTGTCAGTAGTAACATTTTCATTTGTCTTGCCATTCATCAATTTGATCAATTACCAACAGAAAACCATCTAGTAATTACGACAATCGCAAGTTCATATATTGAGATGAGTTTTCATTATTTAAGTTAATCGATACGATCATCTATTACAAAAAGATGTTATATAATAAGCTCATTTTACTGGAAGGACAATAATTTTAATAATTGAAGTCGATTAAAAAGTAAAGTCTGAATTTTTTTAAAGTAAAATGAAGGACTAAACATGGACTAAACCATCTTATTCTAGTATTTTTCTACTATATTAATATTACGACTACTTGTAATCAACAAATACTTGAACAAAAATTATTCTATTTAGAATCGATTAATTGAATGGAATACGCGTGTTTATGCATATTCCGTTCAATCAATTGATCGAAAAACACTGACTTGGCGCTTCTACGCTTCAGAACAAGGACGAAGGTGGTCTAGTTTATCCCATGCTATCCAAATATGCAGAGTAGCAGAATTAGAAATCCGAGAAATCATGATCAAATCACAAAAACTTTACACGAGGTCGACATTAAGTAAACCTTAAGTTACTTTAGTAAGATTTTAGATATTTTGTCAGCAGTACCATTTTCAGTTGTCTTGCCATTCACCAATTTGATCAATCACCGACGGAAAACCATCTAGTAAATTTAATTAAGGCAGTTGCAAGTTCATTGACGTGCGTTTTCATTATTTAAGTCAATCGATAAGATCTTCTATTACAAAAAGACAGTTATATAATAAGCTTATATTATTTCAAGGACAAAATATTTGAAGTTGATTAAAAATTAAAGTTTAAATGAATGAGTAGTCAAAATTTTTTTAAACACCTTTAACAAGGGACATAACTATCTTGTTTTGATATTTTTCTACTGCATTAATAATTCACGACTACTTGTAATCAACGAATATTTGAATCGTTTAATTGAATGGAATACATGTATTCCGTTCAATCAATCGATTTAGCCTTGAAGGAAGTTCCCATCACTAAATAGTTCTTGTGACGTCATAGTGGATACATAAAATGTGGCAGGCTCGGTTTTCATACAAATTGCTGTACTTGCGGCGTCTATCTAGATATATGTCTGTGGGTAATTCCCAGTGAGGTCGTGTTCCCACTATGTCGTGCAGTTTACAGTGTCGTGACTTGTATATTTAAATGAATTTGTTCACATATATAGCACGACACGATTAACTGTCGTTCACGATTTTTTATCGTTACAACGACAAACTGTCGTCACAGTAGGAACAGCTAGAATGACAATCGTGAGACGATAAAAACGTGACGACAGATTGTCGCAGCTCCTATTGTCGTCACGTTTTATTTATCGGCTGTCCGCACGTATTCTGCTCTCTGCCCTCCACTCTCGTACCCCGCGCCCTCTGCTCGCTTTGCAGTAGCGTTGGGTCGTAGCCAGAGATGGGCAAGCGCCCGGGATTTTTTAAATCGGGTTAAAACCCGAAATCGAGGGCAAAATCTATTTACGTCTAAATATTTGTTGTGAATTGAGTTTTGTTCAAATTTAATTATACATATTATTACAAAATATTTGTTGTTTTATTATCAGGACAGTTCGATTTATCTTTCTATTGAATAGATTCGCTTGAAAATTTCATCAATAAATTGATACAAAAAATCTTTACATCGTATGCACTTGAATCGATCTTCATTGAGAATTCACATGATTGACAGGTGGTGGGTATCATGTGGAAATGCCTCTTCTTCGTGTAATAAAAATATAGAAATTTGTTACAAGTTATTGTATATTATGTTGTTAGTGTTGGAATTATACCAAATTCTGTACTCTTCGTTTCTGCCCACGATTTTGGGCAGAAATGAGTTAATTAAAACTCGGCGCTTCGGGTAAAACCCTGGTGAAAACACGGGCTGATGGATTGGGTTTTAACACTACCGGCTTCCAAAAGAACATACAAGCGACTGCAGTGCATCAAACGATTGTGTCGTGCAAACGACGAGGAGGCTGTTGTGAAACGATAAATTGTCGTCACGATCTAGTGGGAACAGCTAGTCCACGACAGATCGTCGTATAGGTGATATGTATACTCACATATGACATGACTGTAGTTGATCCATACACGTGGTTTTATGAAGGAGCACAAGGGAAATCTTAACGGCGGCTGCGGCAACAACTGAAGGGTACTCTTTGTTCAAAGTCTTATCCACCATCAAGCCACACAGGCACAGAAAGGTGGCCGCAGCTTCTATATCAGCACAGTGCATCCAACCGCACCTCAACGAAAAATAGGGAACGAAGTCTTGTGGCACCACGGTTTGCACTTGGAAGTTCTAATTAAAAGAATTAAATTCTTAGGTTTTTTGCGATTGTTACACATTGGAAATGAAACTATATTATCGTCTAAATTGCGTATATTTGTTTCACTCGTGACCATGGGACCTGCGCCCTGATTTTGATTCAAATCGGATAGTCTAAATATCAGATGGGCTTATGAGCGAGAAGATGAATCTGATTCCTATTATATCTTTCTAATTTGTGAGTTAAATCAACTATTGTTCCGATTAGAAATATCAGAAGTTTCCGATCGGCCAATTGTGAATCGCAATTATGCGCCTCGACTCAGAAGAGACGCAGCTGGAATTAGAAAAATATAGTAGGAATCAGGTTCATCTTCTCACTCGGAAACCCATCTGATTTCGAGACTACTCGATCGGTTCATTCCGATTTGAATCAAGATCAGCATGCTGTAAAGGGCCCGAAACGTTGGTTTGTTTAAAAAAGAACAAAAACCTGTACGCGATTTAGATCCCCAGAAATTGTTTCATTTCCTAAAATAATTAATTTAATTAAAAAATTTAACCTATGTATTTACTCAGGAATTTATGTAAAAACTGGCAAGTTTGATTTTAGCCGTGTTGTCTTGGTTTCCGCAAGATTTAGTCTAGATTTTAAATAATATGGTTTAGATACTATTTATTTACCTATACGGACAAAACGTTTCTTATTAGCTTGTAATAGATTTAGAGCGGCACTTAAGGTATAATCCCTCGTGTCGTACTCAAGTATCAAGTAGCGCTCAGGAGGTTTGTCGATTTAGCCTTTTTGCCGTAGTTTATGTTGGTCTCATATAATACATTAAGTTTTTTTTATGATACTAAGTGACGGGCTGAACAAGTTGTGTGCCGGTTAGTAAGTAGGTAAGCGACCTGTCCATAACAGTAATACCTATATAAGTACATTTTTTAAATATTATCAAGTGACGGAACGAACAAGTCGTACGCATGATGGGAAGCTACACACCTGTTCATAACAGTGCCACTCAGAGCTTTAAATCGCAAAGATTTGTGGGGCACTGCCACAGCACCCGTCACCCTGAGATATTAAATTGACAAGTCCCATGTGCCTGTAATTTCAAGAGCATTCTTGCAAAACCGGAAGGCAGTAATGCGAACATTACTGCTTGGCGGCAGAAATAGGTCACGTGGCAGTATTTCCCTGGACCAACTCTTTCACAAGGAGGTCTACTGCTACCAAAATATTATTACATTTTATTATTTATTACATTGTCCGCTAGTGATACGCTCAATATGACCAATATAACATATTACAAAGGCTTTAACCTATCCAGTTGCGACATTTGCAATTTGAAAAAAAAAAAAAAAAAAATTTGTAGTCACAAACATTCGTGCAACTTTTTCAGAGATATAAAGAAACTAGTCGGCCGTCACCATAAGTGTAACTTGCAGCTTTTCCCGGCAATGGCTTGGTGATTCTGATTAATCTAGCAATGAATTGCGTAGGTCAACTTAATCCAACTTAATCCAAGTGGGTACCTACCTACAATAGTTGTTGAAGCAGAACTTATAAACCCCTTGCTTAAATATATTACTAATTTATTTAAGTCATCTAAATATAATGCTAACTACAAACATTATTGTGTTTACTATTTTATATTCCATTTCTGTTTATTTGTTTTGTTTTGTTGGCATGTATTTAAATGGTCATTTTAAATTCGCAAAAGCAGCAGGCAAAATAATCTAAACTGTCATCTTTTTTAATGGTGGATCTTTTACTCTAAGACATAAATTAAATCAATGTATATTTTAACCTGTTCTGAGCTAAACATTAGCTTTGTATCATCTTTGTATAAATTAAACCTTGATAGTTTCATGTTAAGCTTCAAATTTAAGAAAAATGAGCATTAAAAAACCTGAAAAGATGTTCGGAAACGCAAACAAATTCTCTTCTGGCACTCACCGACACGCTCGCTCGACTCTTGTTACTTAACTTAACCTACTGAAAGGAGGGCGCAACCAAGATTTGAACCCATTGAAAAAAAGAGCAGGTAATATGTTTGACTATTGAATATTAATTTAGTGTTTAAACATAATGTAGTGTCGTTACACTACGATATGTATGATACGATATTATGAGTTATATTACATTTAACGTGTTACCTTAAATGCAATTCATTTATAATTGATCCCTAAATCAACTAATATACTAGATGGAACAGTTAATATATATACTCGTATATCAAACGTTAAAGAAAATATCGTTTATTTAAAAAAGTGCACGCTTACAATTGATCAATTATATCTTTGCGGATCAAATAATATTATTCCCAGAAAAATTACATAGAAATCGCATACTCATATTTGTTCTCTCTAAGACGATACTATAGTCAATACAGGACGCATACATTCTATTTTCTTAGGCGAATAATGAATAATCTTTAAAAAAACTTACCAATTTTCTTAATATATGTCTCTCAGCAGCAATTAACTCTTTTTCAATGAATGCGTGGCCTGAATACTTGACCAATCTTTTGCCAGATATATAGCCACCGTAGAATTTAGTTGCGATCCAGAGGCACGCCGCGGCAATTACCTGAAGCCTAGGTATTGTCACCCATGCGTTGCTCAGGTATTTATCTAAGTACCAACACGCCTGCTGTACTACCGCTGGATTGCCCGACGAAATCTGGTCATCAAAATAAATAAATGTAAGTATAAATTACCATCTACCTTATTTATATCAATAAAGGCTTATACCATAAACCATAGGTTCCCAAACTTTTTAGCTCATCGCTCAATAACACCACAAAAAATAATTGAAAACATGTATTTTTTATATTAACTTAACACAAAAAATCACAACGAAAAAAATTATATATTTATAGTGTAAATTGTATAGATAATTCAGGTTTTTTTTCTAATGTGGACCTGGACCGCATCAGCCCCTGAATTGCTTCCGAAGCTGCTATCCCTAGGACTCTTCAGCGCCCATTGGGACCACTTTGGGAAATTATGGCTTACACAATATTAATTTAGATCCTTGCCTTGATACGATTACTTCTATGTTAGAAGTTAATATTAGTACCCTTTTCAGGGCGTAAAAGTAATTTTCCCTTCCAATTGTAAGAAAGTAGATTTAAAAGTTTCGAAATTAGAGCGACATAATATTTCAACTGCCTCTGTGGCCGAACGGTTACAATGCTGGACTGCCACGCAGAGGTCACGGGTTCGATTCCCAATTACATTTATTTATCTCGTGAGTTTGAATGTCATTTGTGGCTATCTATGTGTGTGTCCATGGCACCCGCGATACAGAGTTTTCCTAGTACGGGGCTATCGGTATGTGCATACTACTTACTACTTTGTACTTTGTAACAAGTGGGTAACAACGTGGATATACGTAATAGTGTTGTCGATTGTTCAGTAAGGGTTACCTATCAGTAGTCCGAAATGACATTTTCCAGAAATAACGTTTGCTCGAATTTTCATAACCTCGAAAGTAATTTTGAGAGGTAAATAATGGGTAAATATGTTTTTCTTTTAAACCTAACCTAACCGAATCTAATCGTGTCTTTGCGATAAACATCCAATATATCCAAGAACAACGGTTTCGTTATAATTCGGTTTTCAGTGTAATGAAAATTCGAACAAACGTTATTTCGAAACAAACTAAATTCGAGTTTGTGATAGGTTACCACAGGAAGTATCTAATGTAACTTATAATATATTATGTAGGTACAATACTTACGTGAATTTTTACAATCCAATTAATAACACAAGCACGGGATGCACTTCGGATTCCAGGTTGTTCTTCCATTTTTTTTTCAGTCCTTAGTAAATATTTTAGGTTGTCAAAAGCGTAATGTCTGCTTAGGGGGTCGATGTACGAACGTTGGAGTTCATGTGCTGAAAAATAAGAAATAGGCCTAGTCTAAACAACAGTTCCATGTAGGGGGTTCTCGGCTGGATACGTTGTATATTATTTCGAATCGTATGGATTTTAATGTACTAATTATGTCTAGCTGTAACGATCGGTGAAAATTTACAAAACTCTTCGTGGTCGTGTGAATCCGCCAAGCCGCATTGCATTATTTCTTCAATGCCCTCCTAAGACGAGACGATACGACATATACGAGTTTAAGATGTTTTAAAATAAAAATAACAATGGTACCTAATAATAATACCAAATCGATGCCTTACTTTCTCAAACACGTATCATATAAAGAGTGATTATTCAAGAGACGGCAAAACTTTTTTATTTTAAATTTCTTATCAAGAGTGTTAATTTGAATGCATTACTTTAAGAATAGGTGAAAGCCAGTGTGCGAATATGAAGGAAATGTGATGTAAAATCAGCGTGCAAAATTTGTACATACAATACCTTTTTTGGATTTCAGGTATTTTGTGCTTTAAGATACCCGTTTGAGAAAGTAAGGCGACGAAATGCCATTTGTACAATCAAAAGCACATCAAGTTTGACATTTTGTACTTTGGACTGTTTTTATCGTAACCGGCATAGAGCTGAATTTAAGTCTTAAGTATAAAGCTTGACGTGCTCTTGACCCTGTACAAACTGTACATAACTAAAACCTAACTAATATTTTTTTCAAATATAATGTTACCCTATGTATTAAAATATGTAGAAGTTACGCATAGATATAGTATACTATATACTAAATCTATGAAGTTACGTACGATAGTTAAAGTTTGCCGGTTTTGTTTCAATGTTGAGCAAAGGAGGTGATACCGGAATGTCGGTTGCTATCGGAGATGCAATATCACGTATACCAATAGAATGTGGCCTCTTAAGACTTTTCTTCACTTTCTTCTTAACCGACTGTGATGAGACGTAAGGTGTTAGTGTATTTTTAACAGAGCTTCCTGATATTACTTTTTCTTGAGGTACATTTTTAAGTGCTCTGTGTGAGCTACCTCCAAAAACCTCAAATTTCCAATCTAACTCTTCTTTGTTATCTCTGTAAGTAACATATCGTGTATCAAATATAGGAATATCTCGACTTGGCCCAGAAACACAATTTTTGTCCACAGTTGCTATAGTCCTCAAAGGATCCCTTTGAACTTCAGCGATAGAAGATTCAATTTTGCCTTTAACATGACGAAATGTGGATTTCTCTTTTAAAACGGGTATTTTACTTTTTGGTTTAACGTTTTCTTTATTAGTCGACATTTTGCGATTTCGCTTTTCTTTTAATTATTTTCTTTGAAAGTCGCGACCAGCGCGTGATTTTGTTGAGGCGAGCACTTACTGAATAAATTAATAACTTCACATTTTGTTCATATTGCTTGATTGAAACTACCCTCATGAGATACTTCATACTTTGCGTAATTTTTTTTTTTATTAAATGATTTACAGCTAATGTATTTTTATGTATTTATTATCAAATAAATAAACGTTATTTAAATAAACATCCTTAAATGTTAGGAAAACATAATATTTTGTGGTTTAATTATTTATTTGCAGACCTTGCTTGCGACGATATGCAACGAGACGGTTTCTTTTTGTACGCTTGCGCTCTGTACTTTGGACCGTTCTTATCGTAAGCGGCAAAGATTTGTATTTAAATCCTAAATGTCAAGCTTGACATGCTCTTAACCCTGTACTCCTTAGACTATAGTTTTATTTTTTTCCATCCTCTAAGCTGTACTCCCAGACAAGTCACAATGAAGTATCAACATCTTATGAACGAAACGAACAAGCTTTAAAAAAAAAAGAACGTCTGACTGTCATTTTGACATTTGGCTGTCTTGCGTTGCGTGTCGTGTGGCTGACGTTTTTATCATCATCATGAGTTTCCACGAAAATCCAAGTTACAGATGATATTATTGGATATATATAGGCTTAATTAAATTTTACATAGCCGTAATAGATAAAGATGTTATGGAGGACAATTCCACGCCCTGTAAGAAGACGCCTACTTGGCAAAACTGTGTCCACTGTCCGAGTCTTGTGTTCAATACGACTACGGAATTCGAAAGGTTATTTACACACTTACTTTAATTATGTTAACGTTAATTACACAAAGTAGACCTTGAAATTTAAATGTACCTTCTTTTACAGGCACATACAGGACAAACACAGTATTAAAGAGGGGTCAATCATTCTGTGTCAATATGGTCAGAACGGAATATGTTCAGCGCTTCAGTTTGGTGACTTGCGCAAAGCAGGTTTCAAATATCATGTAAGGGAGTACCATTTATATGCAAAAGACTTGTCTGGTGATTGGAACTTCTACTCTTCCTCCCAAAATTTACCAGCAGTATTGAATGACCCCAACAGAGGTAAACAAAGCAACTTTTTCACTAAAACTTGGGGTGACAGCTTCGTGGATAAAATAGAAATATATCCTAGTCCATATTTGCCTGAAATTACATTACTTCATTTTGAAGCATACTGCAAGAAATTTTCTAAACGATATAGAAGACATTGTCGGTTAAAAGATAGTACACCTGTCAAAACAAGAACACCTGTTATTGAAAATGTATGTGAAGTACCTGATATTTTTTATGAACAGCCGCTTCCACTCAATACACCTGAAGTCTTTAGCAAAGTATTCCCAAATCTATGCGATTCTCAAGAACCCAGTGTTGCCATAAGGTCCCTGCAAGAAACGCTTAGTACTTACCTTGATGTGATAGAAATGAAAATATCTAAACAGGTAGCTCAGAAGTCTGATGCATTTTTTCATGCAATGTTGTCTCATGATACAATTATGGAGCAAATGGCAAGAGCTGTGAAAACTGTCAGAGAAACAAGGCAAGGTATAATGCAGGTAAAAGAAAATTTGACAGAAAGCCCCTTAAAATTGGTGAGTTTGACAAGAATTAATCAGAACCTTGGCAATGTACATGAACTTCTCAAGTTAATGGGCACTGTTCAGCAGACTCAACCCATGATACAACTTCTCTTGAGCACATCTGATTATGTGGCTGCTCTGGATCTGATAAGCTCCACACAGAAAGTACTGTCCACTCGCCTCTCAGGTATTCAAGCCTTCCGACATCTATCCCCTCAACTGACTGAAATGAAAAGGCTCATACATAAGATGTTGAGCAATGAATTCCAAAGATTTATTGTTGCTGATCTTAACAGACCACCAAAAGACCAAACTGATATTCCAGAAAGAGATAAAATTGTTTCCATTGTTTCTGGCATACTTCGATTGAAAGAATTTGACTTTATTGACACTTTTAAAATAGAGGCTATGACTTCAATACAAGCAACTATAAAACAGAGTGTGATAGAAATAATTTCTGAAAGAGATGGACACACTGAAATTGTGCTAAGAGGAACAAATGCAGACAACACATGGCTACTGTGCAATGAAGGCATTACATTTCTTCAAAAAGTTTCACCAAATTTGATTAACCTGTTCAGAAGAATTTTATCTTTACATAACTTAATTTTAGAAATTAGTCAAATGGATGATGTGACCGGCTCAGAAAGTGAGGAAGTGTGGACTCAAGTTGAACTGTTGTCAGTGGAAGAAAAGCTTAAAAAGATGGTAGTATCCCTTTCAGACTACTGCAACGAAAGATGTGCCAATCTTATTGTGACCAAGACTGAAAAGGATCATGTATTTTCTGACCTAGCACAGCTTTCTAAATTATCAGAATTGATAGAGACTTTCTCTAATGAATGTGAAAAAATAACAAACCACAGCAGTAATGCACTAAGATTAGCTCTGAGAAGTTTTGCAATGAAGAACATACAAAGCTTCCATTCAGAAAGAAGATCTCAACTTACAGCTACCCTTAATACAGAAAGATGGAAAACTGCAGACGTTCCCTATGATCTGCAAAGTGTAATAAACAAAATATGTGAAGATGGAGAAATACCCAATACTTTGCAATTTGAAACTGGAAGGCCTGATGCTAAATTTTTGGTAATAAACAAAGAGAATTATGCCGTTGTTACTACTGTGCAGCTTCTGATTAAGATTTTGCTGGAATATAGTGATGCAACTAAACAATCACCTGTTATTGTACAGTATTTAGTCCACTGCATGTTAGAATTGATAAGACTGTTCAACTCTCGGTGTTGTCAGCTAGTGCTGGGTGCGGGAGCGATACAAAGCGCTGGCTTGAAGACAATCTCAACTTCGAATTTGGCACTAGTGTCTAGATCACTGCAGGTCATTCTTTGGCTGTTGCCACTTATAAGACGTCACTTAGATAAACTACATTCTAAAGATTTATCTCTCAATGGTTTTGGTAACATTGAAAGTGATATAATTAGCCATAAGCAAGAAATAGAGAATAAAATTTGCCTCATAGTAAGTAACATGCTTTGTTCACAGTTGACAGGGTGGGATGCTAAGCCACCTGTTCCATCTCAGACATTCCGAAATATTTCTAAGCATTTAGTGAAATTACATGAAGCACTGATAGATATTTTGCCCCATGAACAAATAAAAACCATTTATAAAAGAGTACATGATAACTTTAAAGACAAACTAAGAGAGCAACTAATAAAGATGAATATAGTAGCAAATGGCAGTCCCCAACATGGTGTAGTGACATCAGAGTTAACTTTTTACCTGCAAACTCTCAAGACTCTTAGGATTATCAATGAAAATGATCCTGAGGATAATATTCTTTATGATATTTGGTTAAATTAATCCACAATTGTTTTAAAATAGTTTTAATTGTTACCATACAATTTGTATTTAATGATTTCCTTAGATAAGCCAAAGATTTTTTGGTTAGTAAATTGTTTTTTAATGTTTAGTATTCTAAAGGGAAGAACTTACTACATACTATCTTTTTGTAGTGATTCAGTATTTTTTTTTTTTTTCAAAATTTTAATGGTGCTTGATCTACAACAATTATTCAAAATTGATATGACAGTCTTATCTTCAGACAAAATATGTATGTATTTTTGTCAATATTGACAAGTTATGGGTGAACAAGCATTATCTCAAATCTTTGAAAAGTGTGCATTATATTGTAACAAATTAATTGTAAATAATTTATTATTTTGCTAAGCTAAAATCACTAGTCCAGGGTATTTGCCCATTGCTGGTGTCATCACGTAAACCAATTTTTGTTAGGTAAAAATACATTAACCTGGAATTTGTTTAATATCTATGCATACATTAGTGTTTTTGCAATGTCTCCGAATGTAGACTTAATTTATGTACATTGCGATGATAAAATGAAGAATAAAGCACTCAATGACAACATTTCCTTATTTATTATAGATTAAAAATATGATAGCATTAATTTAAGATTAATGTTAGGTCTAATTAACAACCAGCCTGCAGTTTTTGTAAACAAAAATATTGGTAGCTTGTCTAGGAGTATATAGCACTTTACATATTAATAAATCGACTCATCCGTAGAACAAAGGTCTATGTGCAAGACTACTTGTTCTCAGAACATAGTACATTTCGTTCGTTCTTCTTCGGTGTGGATGTCAGATCGACTGTTGTTCGATTTTATATTTCCGTAACGAAATAAGATATATAAATTATCAAAACACCTATCCATATAGGCCTTAGTATGAATAATGAAACTATTCTCGTAACTTACGTATTCTCTTTTCGCTATATAATCACATCGGACTCTGTTCTTCGGATGAGTCGAAATTAACAGAGGTCTCCGCCATCCCTACTGTACACATATTTTGAAATCTACAAGGCTCTTCTCTTTAAATAATGCCGAATCACACCCATTCCTAATCGTAAACAGAAAAAACACATTCCACAGCCATGCAATGTTTACATTTATTAAGTATGCAAACAAATCACTGTATTTATTCATTTTTGGCACGTGCCATCTTGTCGACCCTCTGAAAGGGTTAGCTTGTTGCAGGTAGTTACTACTGTAGTATTACTACTGTTTCATGAAATAAGGTGCTATTGCTATATACAATTTCCCTTAACCACCTTTCTATATCATCGATATATTCGATTTGTTTGAAGGCAACTAAATACTTTGAATATTTCAAACTGAAACTCAATAAAATACAATCTTTTTAATAATTATGTATTTTTATGAAAATAAAATAGTATTTTATTATTATTAATACAAAGATCGAACACTCGGAAAAAACACTCAGAAAAAATTCCTTCGATCCGGTCGGATTCGAACCGACGTCTTCTTGCATACCGTGCCAGACGCTATACCAACTAAGCCACGGAACGAACCAACGGACCTCACGAATTTTTCTATGTGCTTGCGTCGTGTCTTTGTACTTGGTTTTTCAACATGTTTTTTCCGAGTGTTCGATCTTTGTATTAATAATTATAACAAACTAGTGGAGTAATTTCACAAAAAATAATTGAATATCAATTCAATAAAAATTTAATTAATACAGTGAATAGCGACATCTCTCGCCAGGACTGGTAGCTGTAAAGGTACTAACTGGGTGATAAATCTGTCAAAGATTTCTCATAGATGGCGCTACGACTAAAAAGTCGTTGAAAAACCAAGTACAAAGACACGACGCAAGCACATAGAAAAATTCGTGAGGTCCGTTGGTTCGTTCCGTGGCTTAGTTGGTATAGCGTCTGGCACGGTATGCAAGAAGACGTCGGTTCGAATCCGACCGGATCGAAGGAATTTTTTCTGAGTGTTTTTTCCGAGTGTTCGATCTTTGTATTAATAATTATAACAAACTAGTGGAGTAATTTCACAAAAAATAATTGAATATCAATTCAATAAAAATTTAATTAGTATTTTATTCTACAAATCGTTTATAATAAAGGTTCATAGAGTCGTATTCTAGAACTCTGCTCAATGCTCAAGTCAGGATTTCAGCAGATTTGAGTATGACTTCAAGCACTGGAAATACGACCCTAATGGCAAGGACTTGAGTATGATTTTCAGTGCTCACTGCAATACTCAAGTCCTGACTTGAGTATTGAGTAGAGTTCTAGAATACGACGGTAAGGCTCGTACTCTCGTACTCGTACAGAACTAGAGTTCTAGAATACGACCCTTAGTCTTATCTTTGCTAATTAAACGAGTCTCCTTAAACACGTCACTGTGTTTCTGAACAGAATAACACACTCAACCATTTCAATGCACTCAGCACCGTGGCAGTCCGGCATGGTAATCGTTCGGCCACAGAGGCAGTTAACGTCACTGTATTTCTGAAATTATTAAAATTAAATTTATTTTATTGAATAATATCTCAAAATGTTACATAACAGAGGTCAATGCATAACAGGTAAAAAGGCATCCATTTGGTAAAAAATAAAATAAAATATCAAATGGCGCTACTCAAACGCTTTACTACCTCTCTTTCTAATTCTCTCTCTTTGGTTTTTTCTGTAGCGTTTGTGCTTGTTGTCGTGGATTGTTTATAAAAATAATCTTTAAGTATTGGTTGTGATTCATTATTTTAATTTACTCGTAGAAAAAGTATCGTGTAATCATTATACATAAAAAATGTCATATTTACCTATTACACGGTACTTGATTTTAAGAACCCTCATTATGCAACGATTGCATGAAGTGCTATTGAATATTTCAAACTGATTAATAATATATAAAGCAGTGTTGGGCAAAATTTAATTGTTCTGGCAATTAAAGATTGACAATTAATTAATTGTCAATTGCGAAACAGCAATTAACGATTGATCAATTGTTAGTTGCGAGAACCGCAATTAACAAGTAATCAATTGTTAATTGATTAATTCTCGGTTTTCGCAACTAACAATTGATCAATCGTTAATCGCAAATATCTACAATTAACAATCAATCAATTTTCAATCTTTTCAATGTTTTTGATTAACAATTAACAATTAAAACTGACAATTATGATAAATTTATAGGGCATATGGAGGTGAGTTAGGGTGTTGGTTATTGGTATATATATATATATATATATTATATGGTTGGGGTCCGCTTGGGGGGCCGGTTATGGGGTCCCCGGTTGGGGGGCCGGTTATGGGGGCCAGGTCGGGGGGCCCGTTGTTAGCCCGGTTTAGGACCCGTCCGGTGTCCCCGGTTATGGGGCCGGTTGGGGGGCCCGGACGGGGGGACTGTTGAGATCCGGTTGGGGGCCGGTAGGGGGCCCGGTTGGGGCCCCGGCCGGGGGGCCCGAACGGGTGCCCGGTTGGGGGCACAATTGGGGGCCCCGGTTGGGTTGGCCGGTTGGGGGCCAACAGGTCCCTTAACTGGCCCCTAACCGAGGACCCCAACCGAGGCCCCCAACTGGGGCTCCAACCGGGCCCCCAACCGGGCCCCCCATCCGTGGCCCCCAACGGGCCCCGAATCCGGGCCCCTTAACTGGGCCTCCCAACCGGGGCCCCCAACCGGATCCCAACAGGCCCCCCGTCCGGGGCCCCTACCGAGCCCCCCAACCGGCCCCATAATCGGGGACCCCAACCGAGGCCCCCAACCGGGCCGCCAACCGGGGCCCCCAACCGGGCCAACAACGGGCCCCCCGACAGGCCCCCCAACCGGCCGGAATTGATTTTAATTGCAAATTTAATTGCAATTAAAATCAATTCAATTGAAATCAATTGCAATTAAATTGCGACGCGTCGGAATTGATTTAATTGCAATTGATTTCAATTGAATTGATTTTTTAATCTGATTGAATTATTGATTGAAATTTAATTGATTACCGCCCAACACTGATATAAAGAATAATAAAAAAAATATGAAGAATAATAAATTACAGTCACTTTAATAATTATTTATTTATTTTGGAATTAAAAAAAAAAATTTTTCAATAATTCTATTCAACGTCTATCGGGTCAGGATTCAGCTTCAACAATCTTTGCACCCAAAGCCTTTTGTATTTCACCAAAACTTTTCTGTTTAGTTTCGGGAACACACACGATTATGAATAAACAATACACTACACAAATTCCTGCGAATATCCAATACGTTGTTGCGGGTTGTAAATAATTGTTCATGTAGACAAAATACTTTGTTGTCACAAACGTAGATAACGTCGTTGTTGTCAGAGCAACGGTCACACCGACAGCTCGTGTAGGGCCTTCAAGAAGTTCTGGTACGATTATCCAAAATGTTGAGCCTAGGCCTGTAAAAAGTTAACTTTTGGTAAATAGTGATAGGTAAATCTGGGACTCTGAAATATTGGCTTTTGACGTCTTGAAATTCAGGAGGAAATATTTCTTTAATAATAAGCAGTCAGGAGGTGCGTTAAATGTAACGGCAAGTGAATCCCAGTATTGCAATTTATAGTATAATACTGAATATTCGGCAAGGAGCGCGGTCGAATAGCCGACTATTCGGCCTGATTAGCACGCGTACCTACAAAAATTGGCAAAAATACCACTTATTAACTTCAGTTATGATAAATATTATTTGTACAATGAAACAAGAATGGTACTTTAATTTTCAAATTTATATTTTTTATGACATAGTGAAGAAAGTACCTACTAATTGTTTACATTAAGGTACCTACTTACTTCATTTTGATTAACTATAATAAGGTGTAGTTTTAATTTGATTTTGTCCTTTTTTTTTTTGATCTCTTACAAAAATAACTTAGTTATGTTATTATTTCCTTCGATCTTTTAAATAATAGACTAGGAACCGACTATTCGTTGCAACTTTAGTGAATACATTTTCGGGTGAAAAATACATACCGGCACTATAGCAGAAAATGAACAGAATCAACGATATGAGGGGAAGATAATTTAAAAATCCTTCTATAGGATGCCCGTCGTCTTTTATTTTGAAAAATATTCCTAATCCAATCTGTAATAAGAAAATTACCATTTTACATTACATTACATAAAAATATCATCATCATCAACAACAACCTATCAAGGTTTTAGGCCATAGTTTTCCGAATGTTGTAAACCTTCTTCGATGTGCAGGTTTCATCGCGATGTTTTCCATCACCGAAAGTTCACGGTTAAATTTCGCACATAAATTTCGAAAAACTCACAGGTTCGCACCTCGATTCGAAACCACGACCTCTGCTTGAGAGGCGGTAGTTAAATGATCAGGCTGCCACGACTTATAAAAAATATACATAAAATAATAGGGATTGCAGTATGGAAATTCCGTTAAGATAGGGAACTAAAAATTGTTTTATTAACCGACTTCAAAAAAAGGAGGAGGTTATACGTTCGGCGCGTATGTATGTTTTCAAATTATCCTTCAATTGTGGACCGATTTTGAAAATTCTTTTTTTGTTTGAAAGGGTGCACACTCGTGATGGTTCCATTGTCACCAAGTCAGAATCTGATGACGGGATCCCATGGAAATCGAGGGAAATCCTTAAATTTTGTAGGCATGTCCGTGTATTAATCGATTTCTCCATCAATTGCGGACCGATTTTGAAAATTCTTTTTTTTTTGAAAGGATTTACTCTCGAAGTGGATGCTGTTCAGGGTTCGTTTCAGCTATCATTTATATATTTTTATTTTTTTAATTTGGATTTTTATTGTATACTAACACTTAGTTCCGTAAGATTTTAATTTTGTTTTACTAAGACCTTTGTATGGACCACCTTTAAAAGTCTGAAATAAAGTTATTTTATTTTTATTATATTACAAATTACTAATTATTTTCCACAAATAAAAGTCGACTTTTCACTTGGCACAATACCTATTATACTTACATGTAATGAACAAATCACCGTCACCATGAGAACCAGAAAAGAACGTATAAAATGTATAAAGGAGTCCGTAACAGTCCCATTGTTAACAAGTCAGAATCTGCATGGTAGTTGGTGTGATCGCATAAATTCGTATTCCAAAATATTTCGGTAGAAACCATTCGTTGCGAAGATTCAGAAAAGTAAATTTTATATGGCGGTTATCTTGAATTCGTCATATCAGAATACTGTTCTGGCACAACCAGACCAAGATTCTTGACAACTCATTTGAGAGCCATGTCCGATGCTTTGATCGGGAAGCCTCTGCCCTGCTTGATGGGGAACTACTAAATCTATGGATTTAATCCATGCACGTAGTACTTTAAATTTATTTTTGTCTTATTTCGTTTTGTACAAAGTATTATAATTACTTATTTATGTTTGGAGTCGGTGCCAACCAAGGAAAGAAAAACATAGAAATACCTGGATTCTAATGCTATACAGTAAGTTTGTAAACTTGCATTGACACCGACTCCAAAAAGAAATTATTAGATATTGTACATATTAAAGTATCAATATTTTTTAGTGGTAAGATAAAACTTCAAACCGATCAGTAGGTAGCACATACCAATAATAATATTTTATGAAAGTAATAGGTAATAAATAGTTTCGGACAAGAGTTTTCACGTTGTAATTATATGTATAAAATAAACCATAAATGTAGATAGTTTGAATAATAAGTAATTATAATAGTTTGTACAAAACGAAATAAGACAAAAATTATTATAATTTTATTACATGCATTGTCGTCGTTTGGATTAAATCTGTATTTTGTTATTTTTTACTTTTTCGTGTAGTGACTTTGTGGTTTTTGAAGTTGGTTGAATTTATTTTTAAGGTTTGTTTATTTCATTAAAATGCTATCATTAGAAGAGCATATTCCTATAGATAGAATAGTGGGGAAAGGAAACCATAAACTCTAGAAACTCAATTTCGTCTTCTCGACAGTTGATAACACTCATTATTCCCTCTAGTTCTGTTGTACAGTTCCATTGACAGAACTTTTTTCCCATTTGTTCTGTTGATAAATAGACAGTTTTCTTCGCAGAACTATTGAGAATTTTCTCTCCCACTAGTTCTATTGACAGAACGACTGGTACTTTTCTTCTCATTTGTTCTGTTAATAAACAGACAGTTTTCTTCATAGAACTATTATTTAAATTGCAGAAAAAATGGTATTTGGTAGTAGCCTAGTCAGGTGCTTCTATCCAGGGGGTCTACACGCGATCTCCGTCCGACATCCGTCTGAAACAATTACTGTCAAATAAGTAATATTCGACAAAATTAAAAGACAAGTATCAAGAATGAAGCTTCATTCGCATCACGCGTCTTTTCATTTGGTCAAGTATTGCTTATTTGGCAGTCATTGTTTCGGACGAATGTCGGACGGAGATCGAGAGTAGACCCCCAGATCTGTAGAAAGTATGTGGATAAATCCGCAGCTACACCACCAAACTGTTACTATAACAACACAACAATGTTCTGTGGGTAAGTTTCTTTTTCGCAGACTGTTTGTGCTTGTTACCAGTGTTTAACAAATGTGTTGATTTTTCATCACAAGTAATGACACGATCTAAAAATCCGTCCTCTCTGCGTCGTTTCATTATGGTACCTACAGATTTGCTCGATTTTTTTGATGTCAACACGTGTGATCAAACTAAACGAGTAATTGTGTAAGCAACAGACGATCGACATCACATTTTTTGTCTATCGACACGTATGACCAGAGAAAATCGAGTAAATATGTACCTAAGCGACAGACGATCGGATTTTGAAATTAAATAGTTTTAATTCCAAAATCCGATCGTCTGTCGCACCGTGATCGTCTGTCAAGTTTGTAAGCACCTAAGCCTAGTGGCTTAGGTGCTTACAAACTTGTTCGATATTAATCCTGATAAGTTTCGATCGTTAAGAGGTGACCGTAACGATCGATAAAATCGAGCAAATCTGTTGGCTGAAAATCTTATTGATCATCAAAACACAGCACATCGAGCGCCAGTAACGATCGTCAAAAATCGAAGAAATCTGTAGGTGGCGTCTATTGATCATCAAAACACACCATATCGAGCGACAATAACGATCGCCAATAGGAAGGGTTGCCAAATCGTGATTCTAATTTTTATAGTACGTCGTGTCCCTGTCAACAGCAGCATCATTTGCGAGCTGATCAGCACGATCATTTCCATGATTTCCGGAATGTCTCGGTATCCAGGAGAAAATTACAGACAAGCCTTTCGAAGAGCAAGCTAACAACAAATTTGTAATTTCGAGTATTATTGGGTAAAGCATTCGCGTTTTAAAAGGAAATCTAGACAGTGCATGAAGAGCACTTATAGAGTCGGAAAAAATTATAGTATTTCTTAGCTTAGCTAAAAGAACGTACTCGACTGATTTGTATAAACCCAAACACTCTCCAGTAAAAACCGAAGTTTCTGGAGGCAATTTAATTTTTTGAACAATGTTATATTGTTGATGATACACACCAACGCCAACAACACCGTCGCTGCCATGCTTAGAAGCATCACTAAAAATGCAGTGCCACGATTGGAAGTCCCTTTCTCTAATGAAATTGAAAGTATGAGAGTTTTCAATAGAATTCTTATTGATACCTAAAGACAAACGGATGTCCAGAGATAAAACTAAAGCTTCGTATTTAGTAGAGAAAAGAGGCAAACAAAGGGAGTTATGAATTGGAGTTTGCAAAGACAAACACTTACGGAAACTAATAACCAGACAAGGAAAAGACTTATGAGTCCAATAAGGAGATGTTGATGCGTCAGTTGAGAGGCGTCGAAGTCCTAACAAAAGAGAATGTTTTGTAAATTGCACTCAATGGAGCAGATATTTATCGGATAAGTACTGACGTCTCAATTGAAGATGAGGTTCCACACACTCCACTTACACACAACGCATTAATGGGACTCGACTTCATTGCTCCCAGAATAATTCTTAAAGCTTTAGATTGCACTCTATCAAATTTTTTAAATGTCGATGAGTAACATGGGTCAAGAATAAAAGATGCATAATCGAAAAGACTCCTAATAAGTGAATTATATAATAATTTTAAACAAAAAGAATGTGCTCCCCACCAAACACCTGTTAAACATTTGATAATATTCAGATTTTTCTCATATTTAGCTACGATGTAATCTGAGTGTGGAATACCAGTAAGCTTGGAATCTAAAATAACACCCAAAAATTTAGTTTGAGGTACAAAGGAAAGTGGAATATTATTATAAACCACATTAGGTATTGGTGAATTACGCTTTCTAGAAAATAAGACAACAGTGCTTTTGAGAATGGAAAGTTCAAGGCCATTTGTATCTCGCCAACGTTTCAAATATTAAAGAGACTGTGTCATTGAGTAAGATGCTTTTTGAACACAACCGTTTACATTGTACCTACAGCAAAAGATCGTCAGCGTATTGAAGAATTTTAACAAAATTATTAAGTGAGGACTCTAAGTCATATGTATATATATTATAAAGAATAGGGCTAAGAACAGAGCCTTGGGTAAGACCCTTTCATACATAACGAGTTAACTTAGCGCCATCCTGAAGATGTAAATTGATATATCTTTCAGACAACATATTTATGATAAAAGAAGATAACATTACGAGAATTCGTAAATCATATAATTTCTTTTGAAGCAGAGAATTTAAGATATTATCATATGCTGCACTGATATCCAAAAAAGCCGATAAAACAGATTCATTATTTGTAAAAGCCAAACGGATATCCATCACAAATATACTAATATTATTAAATGTGCTTTTACCTTTTCTAAATCCAAATTGGCTTGACGCCAACAAACCATTGCTTTCAACAAACCATTCCAAACGGTTTTTAACCAAGTGTTCAGCTAACTTTAAAAGTACGGATGAAAGAGCTGTAGGACGAAAAGAGGAAGCATCCGACGCTAACTTGCCAGGTTTTAAGATTGGTATTATAGATTGATATTTCCATGATTTAGGATATTACCTGACAACATAACTGAGTTTACTATAATTATCCAAAAAGTATTTAAGGGTACTGTCGCTACAATTTATAAAAAATGAATATGGGATGCCGTCTTCACCTGGAGATGAATCCT